AGCTGAATAACCCCATTATAAAAATTGAAGAAAAATATGAATATCAGAAAACTTGAAAAAAAATCACAAAAAATTTATGTTTGGTTTATTGTAACCTACGAAAAAATGCACAGAAAGACTGTATTTAATTAAGTTAAAAAAACGAAATTTTGAATTGATTCTTGCTAGGTTTTCTGTTTTTTTTTTTAAAATAAAATAATAATTATTTTAATTAGAGAACTTTCAACATAAGCATTTTGCTGAAAATAATTTTCAAGTTTCTGAAAATAAAAAACAACTGAAAAAAGTTTTGTACACCATTACGCAAAACTGCAGAATGATTACTGTATTTTCTCTCTTCTTTGAGATTTTTTCAACCAAATCCACCAAATTTCGCAAACTTTTCAGATAAATAATGTTCCGGCGTCCCGACGACGACGATGATGATTATAGTGGTCGAAAGGTGGTGAAACCAAAAGCGATTCCTGAGAAATATGCGAAAAAGTTGGGCGCCGAGTTTGCCACTGGAAAAGTAAGGGTTTAGAAAAAATGCGCTAAAATCTGAAAAACTTAAAAATGTGACTTTTTAAGACATTTGTAACTGGAAGCGATAAATCTCAAAAGGATTTCAATGAAAGCCAACAGGTCAGAAACGATGTCATGGAGTCGTCTGGAGGACGATTAGCGCCACTGACTGAGGATGAGAAAAACAAATTGTCAGCGAAGATTTTGAAAGCCGAGCTCAAAGGGGATATGGTAGGTAATTTAAATTTATTTTTGACAGTTAGATTTAGCTGAATTTCCAGTTAAAGTGGATGAAAAAGCACAATTATAAACTTTCAGGATCTCGTGAAGAAGCTAAAACGCAAATTGGAATCGGGTGTGTCTGGTGTTGATGATGAGCCGCCAAAATCCAGATCGAAAGAAGTGACAATGATGAGAAGGGATAGAGAAGGCAATATTCTACCTGCGAGTAGCAAAAAATCCGATGATAGACATGCCGAGGTAAATTTAAAAATTCTAATAAAAAATAAAATTAGAACCTACAAATGACGTAACAAGTCATGAAGTTTCCGATTAGGGCCCGTTTCGTCTATAAATTTTTTATAGACAAGATACAATTGTTCAAATCATGTCATTATGTAGTTCTCGTTGAGTTCTCTCGTATCACATTTACTTGGTCGAAAAATATCAAATCTGAAAGAAATTATGGGACGACAAATTGAAAGCTGAAAGTTTCAATTTTTATGCTGTAATCTGAAACTTTTAACCGCTTATTATGGGTCAGATATTGTACAAAAAGCAACAATCTTAGAATAAAATTTTTTATAAACCTGAAAATTCGAATTTTGAACACATCGGAATTTTTTAAAGGGATTTTTTCAATTTTTTAATTTCAGGGCTCCTCCCGAATGCGTCGTGAGTACGAGAAACGACAGGATTTGGATTCGATGGTTCGAGAAGAAAAAACAGGAACAGCTGGTGATCAATTGCGACTTTTCGAGAAACAATTAATTGTGAGTGAACAGTTTTTGGGCCCCACCCAATTTTAAGTCGCTTAAAAATAATTCAGCTATAAAAATCTGAAAGTCTGAAACATTTTATATTTAACAAATCTGAAAATTCCAGAAAAGTTCGAAAATCCGACGTCACGACGACGAGAGTGTGGATGATATCGCTGAAATGCAGAAGGGAAGGAAGAAAACTGATGAAAAGGACAGGAGAAATAAGGAAAAGGAGGCAATTAAAGGTAAGCTTTTGAAAGTATGCAGAAGCTATAGATCCACGAACCTTAAAATTTCTAAATTTGGTACATGAAGTACTTCTGAATCCACACGTACATCCTCTCAACATATCTATTCGTATTTTAACTGATATTTCCGGGGGGAAAATCGGGATCTTTATGACAAGGGGGGCCCAAGCGAAAAGGGGGGGGCCATGAGAAAAGGGGGCCCAAGCGAAAAGGGGTGCCCATGAGAATAGGGGGGGGGCCAAGTCGAAAGGGGGGGTCCATAGGTTAAAATGTGGACTAAGTTAAGATTTACCAAGTTTTTCGAATGTTTCTATAAAAATTTCATACTTTGCGCATGTTTCCACAAAAATTTCAGTTTAGGCCGGTTTTTGCATGAACAACACTATTTTTTTCATTGTAACTGTGTAATTTGAAGTTATTCAGCTAGTTTCAGATTTTTTCAGGCTTAGTAACAAAAAAATAGACAAAAAATATGCAAAAAATGACATAAACTGAAATTTTCTAAAAATTATGAAAAGTGTTCAAAGTTCGAAATTTTAATGGAAACGGTCACAAAACTTGAAAAAATCGGTAAATCTCAACTCAGGCATAATTTTTCCACTTGGGCCCCCCTCCCTTTTTATCATGGACCCCCCCCCCCTTTTCGCTTGGGCTCCCCTTTTCTCATGCCCCCCCCCCCCGTTTTCTCATGGCCCCCCTTGTCATAAAGAGCCGACAATCGTATCCTTTTCTTCTAATTTTTAATCAAAAAGAAATGAGAAAAAAGTGAACGATCAGAAATCAGGAACGTTGAATCACATCTGGACCAACAGGCAGACAGAATTCGGCTGCCTAGAATCAACTAAACAGTCCCTCGATCTCAAAAGGTGTCACCACTAACACCTCATCCATCTATCCATGTATCATTCGTTTGTCAAAGAAACACGCTTCTTCGCTAATTCGAGGCGATGGCTATTTGTGTGGTTTGATGATATCTGCTGTGATCTGAACTGAATCAGCGTTTGTAATTTAGTTCCACAAGTCAATAGTGCTTCAGTTTTTGTGATTTTGGTTCTGACAGAATTCCCATTGCAGATCAGGTCATAACTTTCAAATAAAAAAGTATTTTTCCTAAATTTTCAAAACAGGATCCTTTGCACTTGGCACGGTGCCAATTCTCGCGAAATGACCATGAAATGTGTTTGTGACACAACCACTATACCACCACCGGACAATCGACCACATAAATTGACAAGTTTCCTTTCCTCTTCTTCTTGAGACGCTCTTATTTATATTGAGAAGAGAGATGGGTAGAACAAGAAGTTGAATAAAGACGAAGGACATTGATCAGACTAGATACAGAAGGAATGGCTGAAAATGTGCGAACTAAAATCCAAAATTTGGATTTGGTTGAACTTCATTATCCCTTCATTGGCCCACATCATCTCAACATAATCCAGTCTGTTTGGGTACTCCTGACTCCGAAATTGTTCAGTCTAACCAGGCTTAACGCTTCTCACGTTCTTCGAAACCAATCCGTCCACTCGACTAGTTTGGATTCTTGATCAACTAACACACAGATTCGATAAAATTTATTGTCTTTTGATCTTTTTTCTGGGGAGAGAAATTTCTTTCGAGATCAATAAAACGAGCGTAATCTCCTGAACTCCTTATTCGAATTGATCAAGTGTGATACAAGGAAGTTTTCAATGATAATTTATCACACTCTCTATCTACTACTACAGAGGAGATCGACGAACTATACTTACTGTGTAATAAGAGTGTGAAGATACCAAAAAGGGCAGTCAGTATGAATGGATGTCGACTAGGTTCTAGTTAGGACATAAACTGATGCCTAAAAATATAAGAACAGTTCATGGTTGAAAACCAAGTCAAACAGAGCTTTGTCTACGTCCAAAGGCAGATTTAGTCTATTTATGCTTGACTAGATCAATTAGGCCGGACCACCACCTAATGATGGACAGGCCTTGTCAGACTAGCTAGGCCAGAATCTCAGGACTTTGGAAAATTCATTAGAGCGAATTCACAAAGACTTTCTCAAAAAGTGTGTGATAAGTCAATTAACACCACTTATAATCATCCGATTCCTGCAAATAGGCATCTTGTCTATTTTTAGACACACCCAAAGCGACATAAAAAAGAAACACACTGCGACCACCGTCAATCTTCGGCGGCTTCTGACGATGCTTCAAAGGGGGATAATGAATCAGTGAAAAGAACACATTGGGTGTCGAGGAGACTTCTTTGATGATGGACATTCTATCCCTTATCCTCTTCTTCTCTCTTTTTCCACCCCAATTAATCACTTGTGTTGTGGAATGTGAAAAAGTTTTCAAAAGAAGAAGAAGAAGATGTACAAAAGTACCGCCCGAGATACAGACACTTTTCACTTCCTGCTGATCACAGACCAATGCAATCTTTTGCTATCTGCGTTTCTTGTTCTCTAATTAGAAGAGTCTTCTGACAATTCAGATGGTAAACACATTTTTTGCTGAAAATTGAAAAAAAAATGTCAATGCCTCGAGAAATGTTTTGTTATTCTTGTCTCTTATTACACATTACACTTTTGGGCAGGTCAAAGAATCTTTTTCAAAAACGAGAAAAATCAAATCTTTGGTTGTATAGAAGTGTCATAAAGAAGATAAGTCCCAGAAGAGAGACCATAGGAAAAGGTCAAGGTGGAAAAAGATGAGCAATCGAAATCGAATGAAACTTCGAGACTCCTATTTTTTTGATTTTTGAAGTTCTGGAATCTTTGAAGTCCGGAATCCGGTTTTTTGAACATTATCCAGTTAGACTGATTGAAATTCTTCAACTCTTGAGCCCTCTGAGGATCAGACTCCTGATTCCGAGTGTGTTTTCATCGAATCGATAAGGAACCAAGAATCAGTTTGATAGCACACAAATAACACTGATTAACAAGTGATCCTGATCTTTCCAGTCGATTGGTCAGATCAAGACCATCCCAAGCACACAAAACACAAAAACCGAAATTCAACTTCTTGCAACTCAAAAAAACATCAATTTGTCTGTTTACGCTTAAAGTGGCCTTCTTGTCCAGGCCCAAAATCGGCCAGGAATGCTGATGTACTACTTAAAAAGAAAAAGAAGACGTCATCAAGAAGAATCGGAAGACTTTTGGTTTAGATCGGAAGAGATTAGATAAAGGCGAAAAAGGGTTTATTCCTCCTTTTTTCTCTCTCGTTTTTGCAGGAGCGACGGCGTAGTATCAAATACAATACACGTAAAACGACACGGGCGGTTTCGGGGTGAATGGTTTCGGAATTTGGGTAAGAAGACAAGAGATAGATATCACTAGGGACATGAAAATGACTAGAAACGATTCTAGAACAACGGGAACAAGTGTTGGGTGAAAAAAGAGTGGAGGGACCCGAAAGGAAGGCAGAGTTTGAACCGAGATCATATAATGGGGACCGAGAGGCTGAGGAAGACATGTAAAAATGAATGAGAAATAGAGAAAAAAAGATATGATACAGACAGAAAACAACAAGGAAGAAAGGGGTACCAATGGCTTAACGAGCTGCACGGAATCCACCAGAGGCCCCGTTGAACTCCTTGACTTTAGCCGAGAGCTTCTTCATCAGCTTGCTCATGTCGATTTTCTTCTCACGGACAACGTCTTCAGGAAGTTCTGGAATAACTAACGAATTGAAACTTATCAATTCATTGAAATAAAAACTCACTCTCAGTAATATCTGATCCGGAAGCAGTTGCAACTGGAGTCTCTTCGACATCCTCGACGTCATCCAACTCACGGCACCGAATCTTCTCGTAGTAAGTAGCCTTACGGAATGGACGCATCAAAGATGGATTGTCGAGTTGTCCCTCGGTGAGCAGCTCGCAGAATCCTTTCTCTTGATAGGCGAATGGATGGAAGAAATTGACTGCCTTGCAACGTGGCTTCTCAGCGCACTTTTGGAGACATTGGTCGTGCTCGTCGACGGTCATTGTAGCGAGCATGGTACCGAAGTAGACATATTCGGGAATGGCGTCGGCATGGAGACCTTGTGGACAGACGTTTACTGAAAAATATGAAATGGTTGGAAAAGATTGATTCAAAAAAATTAGAGTTTTCTAGATTATAGACCTCTGAAATGCCAGTATCTAGGAGCTGAAGTCTTGGGATACTTTCCCAGAAAATTTCTCACCTTTCTCATCATAAGTCACATCATAGAATGGCGCTTGACGTGCTGGATTTAGATGTGCACGCAGATCACCCCACCATTCAGTGGTGGCACTGCACACTGTCGCCAAAGACAAAATCAAAGTGGAAAAGAGCATTTTGTTGAAAAATATTTATATCAGTTTTGTCACCACACTAGACGGTGTCGACAAATACGGAATGAGTAGTAGAAGGGATAGAGAGAGAATTTGAAGAGGGAAGGAAGGAATTCTCCAAAAAGGGGAAGGACGTTTCTTCTTATTCGTCTGCTTCTCTAATACTTGATGGTGTTAAAAGCGACAATTTCTTCGGTAGACATGGCTGATTTCGGGGAGACGCAGTCGAAAGGAATGCGAATCGAAGCTCCGCCCACTTAACTTCGTTTACGGGGAGCGACCGAGAGAGAGAGAGAGAGATGAATCTTTCTGAGGGAGATACTTAGTGAAAAACAAACACTAATTAGCACTAGAAATCAAAGATGGTCATGTATGTTTGTGATGAAGGAGGATGGAGAGAGAATTCAAGGAATCCCTGGATTCGAGGAGAGAAATAGAGATCAGAGATTACAACTGAACATTGGTCTTTTGGTTCTGGTTCTGGTTTTGTTTTAGGTGCAAGATGTTCTCAGACGAATTGGAAATTGTCTCTTTTTGATAGTTAAAGTCATTCTAGAAGTTCATTCTCATGTGAGCCAAAATCCAGCTGCCTCTAGTGGTGCGATGGTCAGTTTCAAAGATAGAGGAAATCTGTAAGCTCATCTGAAAATGAGCCGAGAATCCTAAAAATCCAGGATTTCGCCGGAGATCACAGAGACCTCTAGCTAATAAACCAGCCATCACAATTTCGTCTGATACCTGAACACAGACTAGACCAACGGTCATTCCCATTAACCCCCACCTCTTCTAAACGATCCAATCCATAGATCAAGTGGATTCCGAGAAAATCAATTTCTACCAACACCAACACGTGATGCTAGTATTATTGAACAACTACTGCACCACTTCAAAAAAAAACCCCCCAAAAAGCGCGAGCGACCTCAAGATTCTCATACTCTCGATTCTCATAAGTGGAGTACTTTTGTGATCGTTTTGTGTTCCTTTTCTAGTACTCAAGTCCATGGCTAGAAACAACAAAAAGAACGATTCTGACAGCGTTTTCTGTCAGAATTTCTAGCAAAGAGACCCTTGGAATTCCCTCCGGAAATTCACAGGCAACTGTTTCCACTTGAATCGGTTTTCTGCGAAAAAATGGAAACACTGTTGCGAACAGTTTTGAAAAAAAATTCTGTTGGAGATGAATTCAAGCGGAAAAATTGAGAAGGATCAGAACACAGCCGATCTGAAGAGCATACTGTTGAAATCGATGGTTCAGATGCGGGATCCCAAAATAGAGATTGGGAGGCGTTAATTTTTGGATTGAGAATCTCGAAACTCAATTCTAAAACAAGATTCTGAACAGCCGAAGAAATCTTCGGCATTCAATTCCTTGGCTCATTTTAGAGATTTTTCGTCTTGAAAACTCGATTTTCTAGATTCGAAAATTCCACCTTTACCATTTTTTTATCTGAATTCTCACAACTCTTTGAAGCGTGAAACATCAGTAACTCCTTTACTGAACACACCCTAAACAACACATTCCCCAACCACCTCAGAAGACGTCACGGTGACTGATGTTTCGGTCTTCCCAATAAAACAAGGTTACAAACACACAAACAACTCGAGAATCGCTAATGACTCACGACTTCTCTGCGATGTTATTGTGTTGCAAGCGAATTCCTTTTGAACTCTTTTTTGACCAAGAAAATAAAATCATGTGAAAACGATTGGAATTGTGCGAAAAATAACAGATGTGTTGAAGACAAAAAAAGAAGATGATGATGGATGATCGTCGGTCAGTTCCTTGGAATCACGAGTGGGCAAGAAGAGGACATGGAACAACGCTCTATCTATCTGATATCCTTTTTTGAGTAGAAAGAGATCACAAATCAGAAGGAACTATTTCGGGACAAGGACATAGGACATACAGTGTTCATAGGCTAGCTTAGAACGTCTATTGGTTTCCTGGATTGCTCGGCATTGTTTACATAACTCCATAGGCCAACTTTCCTACAGTAACCCATTTCGAAAACTTTCAATTTCCTTTTTTTCCAGAACACAAACGCATTGAACGCTCATTTGACGATTGCTCCAGATGCATCGACAGTTCCCGGCTCGCCAAGCACAATATCATCGCTGTCGGCATTAATGTGAGCATGTTTGAAAAGTTTCTGCTTTCCATTGAGAATACCCTAAAAATCGTCCTATAACGCTGGCGATTCAATTGAAAATAGTCCGATTTGGACACCTGAAAAATGACCCTTTGGAAACATAGAAGAGATTCTAGATAATTTTTTACGAAATTGGAATTTGTCCTCCTCTCGTCTCATTCACCTTTTCTTTCTTTTCCTTCCGAGAAATTTAGATAAAAATCTCGAAATTTCTAGAGATTCAGATCTAAAAAGAGGGAGGGGGTGATTTGTTTCGAAACCACCCTCATAGGGGTCATGAAGAGAAAAATAGACTAATTCCTCGATTTCGTTTTTTTTCTAGAATGATCAGAAATCGGGTCTAGAATTAAAAGAAGACGTGAGAATTTCGAGAAAATGGCTATATAGTAATTTTGGGCGGAGCTTCCGGGGCCAATGTTGATCAAGAACGAACTCGAAAAGTGGAAGACGTGAGAATTCTGAATGAATCTGGTGTTTGGTTTACTATATATGTAAAAGGTTCTTGAATGCAAACAATTCAGAAGATACGTGATTCAGAAAACGAGGAAGACCCTAGAGACCGACCATAGAAAAAAAAGAGAAAATTAGCATAAACTGTCTAGAATACATTTGAATGAGAATGAAGGTTATTTGTTTAGGGTAATTTTTGACAAGAAAAAGTAACTTTTGTGGCCTGAAATGGTTTAGAGACACCCAACAACATGTCTACAGATCCCGAGCTAACAAAGCCAGACAATTTATCTAAAAACTGATCTCCTCATTTATTCTAAATAAACCTGCTTCAAAATCCACATTTTCAGACCTACTTAGCCGTTGTGGAATGGGACGGATTGGATGATGAGCATGTGATCATTGTGCCAACCCAACACTGCTCTAGCTCGATTCAACTAGACGAAAACGTTTGGGACGAGATGAGACTTTGGAGAAAGGGACTCGTCGCACTGTGGAAGGAGCAAGAAAAGGATTGTGTGTTCTTCGAGATGGCTCGCCACGTGGATTCAAATCCGCACTTGTATGTAGAGTGTGTGCCATTAGAGCAGGAGATTGGCGATATGGCTCCCATTTATTTCAAGGTAATGAAGTCTAGGTGGCACTCTGTTATGTTTCAAAAGTGTGAAAAGCGCGCCCAAGGCGCTCCCGCCTTTTTTCCACTCAACGCAAAAATGTTTGGTATGCGTTCTTCTTTCAAGAATGTGTTAAAATTGGATCAATCAGTCTGGTCGCCGACAGTGTCCGAAATTGCTCGTAATTAACGGGACGGGGAAACCGATTTGTTTTGGGGGAAGACGAAGAAGACACTGTGGCGACACAACAAGTGAGGAAAATGAAAGGGGAGAGAAGGAATGCAGGGAAAAACAAAAACAAAGATTTCTCGGTGTTTACCCTTTGTTTAAGGGTTCTAACTCCTCATAGCTGTTAATCCGAATCTTTGGTTCAATACCATCAGATATCCGACACGAGGAAGTAATCTCTCCGAACCATGGAAAAAAGTTCACTACGGCTATCAACAGTGTCGAAAACACAAGAAGCCGAATCACGCGCCTTCAGTCTAAACACTTCAGATGAAGTCGAATCCATTCATCCCTATCAATATTCTTTCTATCACCCTCTCTGATTGACTAAAAAAGCAGCGCCATGAGATAAAAGTTGTCGTTATCAATTTTTGTCAGTTTTTTTTGTGTGGTGGTCGAAGTCATCTGATTGTCGTCGGAATGCATTCTAAACGAATCGAACATCTTCTGAAGGAAGGGATTCTCTTATTAAACCCTTCTTTCGTACAGCAACTTTCACTGATTTGTACTTTCAGAGAAACGAAAAAAAATCTGGGATAAGAGGATTAATAGAAACCTGACTGATGATTTACGATGATCTCTGAAATGCATTGCCATTGTCAAGTTAGATTTCTTTGGGTTCTAGATTCGAGGTGTTGCCAGAGATCATTTAGCTTGATTCTGGCGTGGGATTCAAAGCTCAAAGCATGCAGTTCTTCAAAATTTCCAAGTTTCAAAATTTCACGTCTCCATCGAAACGATTTCCGATCATCGAGACCCATCACTCGCTCGTGTGTGCATGTTCTCCTAATTCGAGTTGGCATTACATCTAATCTCTTTTCTCTTTTTGAGATGCAAACCGTCGATACTCTTCGTGATCGTCTCTCTACGACTCGTCGCATCTCGAAAGTTCACATCCCATGAGAATCGGAACCCGAAAGGAGAAGGGTTTGGTGTGTTCAGAATGATACACTATCACACAAAATTCCTTCTTGGAGGAAAAAAAAAGATAGAGAAAGAGACACCTTTGGAGTGATTAATTATTTGCGGTTTTCGACGCAATTTTGTTTTTATCTTTTTTCCATCATCGTCATCATATAAGGGTTTCTTTGCACCTCTTGCCTTGAACCAGACGATTTGGCGCCTTCAAGTTACTAGCGAGAAAGAGAGGGATTAATAGAAACTCAGGGGAAACCATCAGGGTCATACCCTGGCAAAGTGGAAAATAGGAGAAATAAAAATACGAAATTTAGATTTTTGAAACAAGATTTTCAACCATTTTTATTATATTTTCAGAAAGCCATCAACGAGTGTGAAGGCGAGTATATGGACAATAAGAAGCTGATCGAGACCAAAAATCTTCGCCGTCAGATTCCAAAAGGGTTCAGTTATTTTGCTGTGGATTTCGGATTGTCAAACGGTTATGCTCATGTCATCGAAAGTCATGATCACTTCCCAGCAACGTTTGCCACGGTAAGCCATGGCCTAGAATTCTCAAACCGAAAACCTTGGTCATATGTTCTATTAGAATTAAACTCAGACGTTTAATTTGTCATTTCAGGAAATCATCGCCGGAATGTTGGATCTTCCCCCGAAAAAGTGGAGAAAACGCGAAACAGACGAGATGTCGAAACAAAAATCACGCGCTGAGAAATTCAAGCAGCTCTGGGAGCCGTTCGATTGGACAAAGAGGCTCAGAAGCCAGGAGGGACCATCCACGTCTTCTGGATCATCGACGTCATCAAGAAGAGAGTGATTGTATATTTATTTGACCTGTTCTTATTCTGATTGCTTTTTCTCACCTAAACATCTTCCCCCATTCCTTCTCGTTTTCTCATAATCTGTCATTTTATTCCAAACCCTTATTTACACAAAAAAAAGTTCAGAAAGTAATCGAATGTCCATTGACTGTCACCGTCTCCCCCTCGAATCCTTTGACAGTCGTACGGCCCAATTTCTCAAAATGAGCACGCAACTCGTTTTGTTTCGGAAGCAAATCGGCAATCTTCGGATCGTTGAGGAAATTCATCAGATCGTGTTCGGCTTCAGCCTTGTCGCACTGCAAAAATGCCACGTGGCCTAGGTTTCCGAGTGTGGGTTCCTTGGACTAACCAACTCCAACATCTTCTCGACATATATCGCTTTGGCATTAGCCTTCTCCAACTGACCCAACTCGTTCCACGCATTCCATTTGAGTCGTTCCTCGATTTTGAAGAAATACGGTTGTGCCGTGTTACATGGACCAACTGTTGCCTGCTTATACAAACAGTACATGAGCAATTGATCAGTTACGGTGGTTTTGATGGGTCCTAGAATAAAAGAGGAAAAAAACTAAAAAATTAGAGTCAATACCATCTTTCGGCAGTGCCTGAATAATCCAGACAGCCGATTCGAACTTCTCGTCAAGTGTTTTTCCCATTTTAATTGCTCACTGGAGCTATGTTTTGGCCGCTTTCGGCTCCAACTATGAAGACGCCGCTGTCGCTACGTGGGAGAATCATGTGACGTGGATGAGCAAGAACAGTGGGTCACTAGAGAGAAGTACAGAAAAATAAGACACAAGTTCTATAAAACAAAAACATTTTTCATCAATTGAGAAAACATCAAAAAGCTCCGAATATCCTATAGCGAGTTAATAGAACACTCTAAAACAACAAAAAAACAATTTGGATAGGGGGACGGTGGCTACAGAAATCACTAGTTAACAAAAACTAAGAGAAAAAAGAAATGATTGGCGAGACGGTGGTGTTGGTGTTTTGATCAGAATCGTCGTAGCGGTGTCTCCGTTTGTCGAACTGTTTTTCTGGAAGAATTTGAAGTTCACTTGAATTCACATTGATTACTTACTCAATTCTCTGTGCAATTCTCTCTTCTTGTGTGGCTCCGTATAGTTCGATCTGATAGTAGTTATGATTGAGATGTTTCGGTTGAGATGGTAGCTCTGGGAAATTTCGATAAACAACTGGAAATCTGATTAGCAACTCACGAGGAATATTATCAGGCCTTTTCGGATATCTTTGTCCAAAACGTCCCGACGTGATGAGGAGATGTGCTGGAAAGGAGCGAATCCAGGAGCAACCGTCGCGGGTAACTTCGCCGGATTGGTTGAATGAGTGCAGGGAATAGCGCCTAGGGGATTGTAATTGAAGCGGAAATTCGGTGTGATTTTTCCGTTGTACGCAGTTTCGAGATTGAAATGATGTTTAGCTGGTACTTCAGGTGGAGGTGACGTATCACGGTCATTTCGATTCAGAAGATTCAATCGAGAAGATTCGAAACGACGTGGGGATTGGAATGCAAGAACACGTTCATGCTCTACGAGTTTTGTCGGCGTTGGTCCGAAACGAGTAGTGTGAGTTGGATTTCTGTTGAGTGACTGGAAAAAGAAATAATTGTCATTGGTTCTCCTCAATATATATTCACCGGTTTCTGAAAGTTGTTGTTTTTGTAGGCGTCAGCGATCACAGCAGAGGTGGTGGAGTTAGGGAAAATTTGCGTTGATGGTCCTGTGGGCGAGACACCGTCTTCAAAATCCTAAAAATTTTGAGGTTGTTGCTAAAGGAAAAAACATTCTATCACTAACAGCACTGCGAAGCCTTCCGAAGCAATCTCCTCGTCCTCGTTTAGGTATATTCTGACAAGAAGTCCCAAGCACTTTCCTTTGGTTTGACGTTGTCTCCTGATGCTCCCCTCTTCCACTTTTCAACTGCTCTTCTTCTGCAATTTGGAAATTAGGGTCCAGTTGCTGCCAGACTCTCCCCGCACCGAATGCGATTCTTCTGCCAGTCATCACTCTCCGATCGATCGTCTTGTTGTAGTGCTGCGAACGTTCGACGAGTCCCTTCAACATAAACGTGTTTGTGAGTCTCGGGCGGCTGATGCACTGCAATGAGTACCGTCGCCGAGAATTTCTCTCATACGGTAAGTTCCAGAACATTCCTCACCTGATCAACTGAAATATCTGGCACTTCAGCGAATCTCCGTGCTCCTGCTGGTACTTGAGTCGAGTTGAATCTATCGAGATGACCTGAAAAAGTTTTTTATCGACCAGAAAAAACACAATTCTCACCATCGTCGTCATCCAGATTAGCTTCCAGCTCGCCGATAAATTCTGCGTCGGTGAAGTATTTCTGAAAATTGTCGATTTTTTAACACGAATTTTCTCTTCACTCGATTTTTTGATTTTCAGCTTTACCTGATCCTGATGTAAGTTATGCATTTGGCCTCGTCTTGTCTGAAATCGGAAAACACATTTTATTTAAATAAAATTAAAATCCTACGTTTGTCATCCCTGTAATCCTTCGGAAACAGCAATGATTCCAAGAATTCGTTGCTCTTTTTCCTGTAAAATAGACAGAAAATTTAAAATTGAGACAAAAACCGAAAAATACGGTAAGACTCAATGAAAACTGGCTAAAAATTATGTTTCAAATGAAATGAAAACTCGCGCCTCTACAGTAACCCGACAATGAGACTTCGCTGCGAGACCCAATACATTTTTCTAAAAGTTTTCCTTTAATTTTGCAATGTTTTTGTTCCAGCTTTCTAAAAATGTGTCTTGTTTGAAACTTTTTCAAAATTCAGATTACCATTATTTTTTCCGTACTTTTTCTCGATTTCTACAGATTTCGCACACTTCTTAGCATTTTTTTAATCCCAATAAATTATCTGTTTCATAACATAATATTTTTGCCGACAAAGTGTATACCCGATTTATAGGACACTGTGTAATAAATTTCAGGAACGCTTTGGCTCGCGCATTGTGTGGTAATAAACAACAAAATCGGCCGAAAGCACATGTTTTTGTATTGATTTTACACGAATTTTCATGGAAACATTTGCACAGGAATGAGAGCTATATTTCCAAATTTCCTTCGAGGATTTTAACTCTGCTTTGCACTTTCTAACATTTTTTCTTTGGAAAGTTAGCACTTTTTTTGCTAATTCCTCGCCTTGACCAAATAGGCTCCGCCCCTTTCCCCAATCTCCTCTTCCTCTTCTCTTCTTTCCCCCTAACTAATATTCAAAATGTTCCCGAAAATTCTCAATTTTTTTAGACGTTCTCCAGATTCTTCCAGAAGAATCGTTGGAATAACGGTTTGGAAAATGTCAGATTCCGGACGGTTAGAGCCGCAAAATCCCGATGTTAGGTAGGAAAACATTGGTTGTGCTTCTAAAGTCAGTGTGATTTGTAGCACAGAGAGCAGCTCGGAATCGACGACGGTGAATCCCGAAGAGGAGAAGCTGGTGAATCTGGTAAGTATAGAATCAGGCTACACGTATTTTCAGATTTATTTCAGGCCCACGCCGCGAAGAAAAATCTTGATGAATACTACAAAAAGCAAAATGAGATACTGGATCACTATAAACACGACAGTGAACAAATAGAAGCAGCTCGGCGGAAACGTCGTCAAAGTGCAAAATCATCTGAATCTGAGTCTTCTGATGGAAATGCGCCTGAGTTGGAACGGAAAGCCTCGACGATCTCCATGAAATCTGCGGACTCTCTATTAAAAAGAGCAGAGCATTCAGAAATGAAGGAGAAAGAGTTGGCTAAAGCAGCCGCCAGATTGGCCAATGTCACATTGCTTGTGAATTTGTGTAAGTTTAAAGTTGATTTATACTGTAACTTAATCTAAATTTTCAGTGCTAATGCTTGCAAAAATGACAGCTTCATATCTATCCGGATCTATGTCGATCATCTCCTCGATGGTTGATTCGATTGTCGATCTAACTTCCGGAGCAGTCTTATCCATTTCCTCCCGCATGATTCGCGTTCGTGACCCATATCAATATCCACGTGGACGTACTCGCGTTGAGCCACTTTCCTTAATTCTCATCAGTGTCATCATGGGAATGGCCAGTGTCCAATTGATCATCTCCTCGGTTACCAGGATTCATGCTGCTGGTTAGTGAAAGGAATTCATTTTTTCAAGTTTTTTTTTGAAACATAATAGTGACTCTGTTAGTGTTTGATCTGTAATCTCTACAGTGATCCAGATAAAAATCTGATCAGTAACTCGAGAGTACCAACCTTCCCCCCGAGAAGATTATATTTCGCAATACTTGACAGAAGCTGCCCTACGGAGCTTTTGTGCACATGTCCGCGTACAAAAATCACATGATACGGGAGTGAGAATCAAAACATAGCTATGCTACGACAGAAGCTAAAGTAATCTCTAATTCAAGTACACAAACTAAAATTGAAGGGCCTTAATATTTTAAAATTAAAACTACAGTATCCTTCAAAACGGAACTTACATCGATTACTGTATTGAGAAGTACTGTAGTACTAGAAAACGTACTGTAACTGATTGAGATATCTTTGCAGCTGCTGATGGTGAAAAGGATGAGATCAATGTTAGCTGGCCGACTATTGGAATCATGGGGTCCACCATTATCGTCAAGCTCACCCTCTATCTAATATGTCAGAAGTAAGTGGGTTACAGTAATCCACAATTTTAATATTACAATTTCAGATACAAATCCAACTCATCAATCAAAGTTCTATCTCTGGATCATCGTAACGATTGTATCTCAATCACAATGGCTCTTGCATGTGCCTGGTTAGCCTACTACTATGGTATTCGTACTGATCAACCAACTTCTGGAGTGTCATTTTTTGGAATGTGCCCCAAAGAAGGATGCGATTTGTACTATCTGGATCCCATTGGAGCAATCATCGTCTCATTTTACATTCTCTACACGTGGATTCGTACGGGATATGCGCATTTTGTGATGCTTAGTGGAAAATCAGCACATCCGGAACTTATCAATCGAATCATTCATCAGTGTATTGAGCACGATCCACGGATTTCTCACATTGACACCGTCTATGTCTATCACTACGGAACCAAGTTTCTTGTCGAGGTAAGGATCTTCAAAATATTGAAAATCCTAAAAAAAAAGTCTCAAGATTGAATTCCAAGATTTTAGAACTTTAGAATTTTCAGAATTCGCAATTTGCTGAAATTCTTTTTCCAGGTACACATAGTCCTCGATCAAAACATGTCCCTCAAAGTGACTCATGATATCGCGGAATCACTTCAAACTGGAATTGAAGCAATGTCGGAAATTGAAAGAGCATTCGTTCATTGTGATTACGAGTTCGAGCATCATCCTCATGACGAACACAAAGCTGTTTAGAGATTATTCAATTTTTGTATTCTGAAACATAATATTCCTTCGTCCACCAATTCATTCATTTTTATTTGCTTCCCAAGAATCACATTTTTCACTCCAATTGCGTTTTTTTTATCTCCCAAATCAAACTTCCTGTTGTTTTCTCTGTTTTTTCCAAACTTCCATTCTCATCTCACATCTCAATCAGATCTTCATCTCATTCAATTTTCAATATATCTACAATTTTAGTCAATCTCATAAGAAATAAAGTTAATGGGTCCGAAAATTTTGAAATTTCAGAAGTCTAATTGTAAGAATCAAGAGTGAAAACTTCATTCAAACATTAAAATTACGAAAGATTAGCAAATGTTCAAATTTTCAAATAATCACTGGAACATTCCACATTAACATTTCAATCCATAGCAATCATAGGCGAAACCGATTCTCTCCAACTCGCACTGCATCCATCCGACATATGGATTACATTCCTGAGTGAAGAAGTCTCCAATGCATCCGATGAATGATTCAGTCGCATCACAGAACTTGTTTGGATTCGCGTTGACGGTGGCGTTGAATTTGTAGAAACACGCGCGGTACTGATTTCCGTCGGTGGTTTCTCCCTTTCGAATACAGTCGATGTTACTTTGATAGACTGCAAATTTGCTCTGTTGAGAATATATTTTGAAAATTATCGATCCCGCTCCATTGAAAATTTTATTGTCGAATTAAGAAAAAAATGACACCTGAACCCTTTCTCGGAATGGAGTGTCAATATTTCAGGCGTTCTCATACGGCAATTTTTGCACTGCCCTTTAACTTTTAGCTTTGAGATCAATTATCTAGGTTCCCATCAGAGATATAAAAAGTTTTTCAACTGATAAATTGTTTATCATGACACGAAGAACATTTTATTTAAGATAATTGAGCTCAAACTTGGCAGTGTGGAGCTCTTCTATTGTAGGTTTTACGGAAAGTTCGGTTGTTTGGTAGAAAAAAAGATTCTAGAGATGCTAGGGGTCATATTGATACTAAAAGGTCTAAATTCTCTTCAGCAAATCTCACTTACAATAGTTTACAAAAATTAATTCCGCTGTGTACTGTATCGTTTTTGGTGCCGGCCTCGCAAATCGACATGAACGCCGCCCGCGAGATTCTCAGGGACCAGTTTTTTCAATTCGACAA